TAAAATGACAAAAAACTGTAAAAGTTAATGTGAAGGCAACTGTAAGAGAAGCATTATTCTACCAAGTTTTACATTGCTTTTGTTTTCAAAAAATTGTGGATGAAAATTATTTTTTTAAATAAAAAAATTGTCAAATAATAATTTGTCATGTGATAAACTGTCAAATTTGGTGTATACCAAAGTGTACACCAAGCATGATTGATTATTTAATGATTACGCTGCAATTTTTCGATGAATGGAAATTTCCAAAATATATCGTTTCTTCTTCTCCATTTCATCTACCTATGTAATTACAGCTTCATTTCTATCTTTAATTGATGAATTCAACAAGAATAGATGGGCAATCTTAAAATTGAACGCTAATGCATTCCATGGAGTACTACCTAGGCGATTTCAATTTTATTATGTCTAAATCCTAACATGAAGTATAAATTTGAAAAATAAATAATCATTTGTTGAGTCACTCCAGCTAGACAGACATCTGAATCTAGACGAAGTTCTAGACAATATTTAAATTTTGTCTTCACATCAGTTTGATAGAATTCATTTTTACATATGTGAGAAAATTTTTAAATAGTCCATTGTTGCATTGGATGTGCTTTATTCCCAAGCAAGAGAGTACAAGAAAAGATGTTGGCGTTTCAAATGTGTTGCATCTATCACCATATGAAGAGCCAAAGAAAAAAAATGGAAAAGAAGTTCTCACTAGTCACTGTCATATTGTGACGATGCATAAGTATATGTTGGAACATGTTCTCCAAGTAGCACATTCCAATCTTCATATGAATTAAAAATTTGTTTTAAGTTCAAATACAACATAGAAAATTGTCATGTAGAAATATATTCATGCACGACTATATATTGGGTTCCTAGTCCATGTATACGATGTTCTTCATGAACTTCCTGTAGTAACTCATCAAGATCGATCACGAGGATATGAGATCAATTTTGCGGGGGGTGGTTGTGACTACCTGAGATTTTTTTCCTTCTAGTAGACAATCTCAAAGTTCTCACTCTCTGTAAAATTATGATACTTGACATATCAATATCAGAGCCTCATAGAGAACTTCCCCTTTGACAAAACAAACAAAGCAATCAACGATCAAGTCATCAAGATAAGAAACACGAGCCTGAGATCTTTACTGAAGCTACGGACACAAGATGGCATAACAACTCTGAAACTTTCTTGCCATGCCACAATACACAGTAGCTCAACATCATCACCATTTTCTTTACCATGACTGCGTTCAAAAAGTTTCAAATCTCACTGGGAAACTTAACTCAGGAAACCAAAGTGCATACACGTCCACATATTCTATGTTAGATTATACATTAAACCTCAGACAATCTGAGGGTGAAAGAAAATTAGACCTCAGGTGCTATCCGCTTGTATGTTCCACCCTGCCTTGCTCTGGAGCTGAGCTACTCCAAAATCTACCACTTTAACGACCTTATCAAAAATTTTAGCATATGTCAATAGTGGACGATTATAATCAGTACGAATATGCACTGCTTAAGCCCAAGAGTCGCTACAAGCAACAAAAAGAAAACTTATCGGCCATTTTCTTTCTCTTGTTGGCATATAACTGGATTACTGGATTATAGCGTGTTAGAGAGGCCTACAACATCCATAGTTTGTTGTCTCCCCAAATCTAAGACCTATTCACTTATCGATTCTGTTAACCAATTATCAAAAGAGAGCGATGTCCACGTAGCACTCTAAAATAAAATATCAAGTGTTCTATATAGAGGTAAATAGTTGCGGATAATTGTTTAAAACATCTTAAAAAAGGGAAGAATGAGATCGAATGTGTTTCCTTCCAGTTTATGTACTTGTATGTCACCAACAGTATTGAACTATTGATCATCTGACCTCTATATCAGAACAGTGCATATACTCATGCCCTACAAGACTATAGACTAAAATTATCTATTGGTAACGCATGGTGTGATGGATGAGATCTCAAGATGACAATGATCTATGCCACACGTTCTTCATCATTTTTCCAGCAGCAATAGTAACAGGTCAATTTCCCAATCAACTGAGATATAGACACCGAGGTCAATTTATTTGGATATGTGCAAGAAAGTCCAGTATCCACGTCGTCATCTCATCTAGCCCTTGTATGGAACTGAGAGAGCACCAAAATCTAAAGTTTCAACAAACTTGAGACAAATTATTCACCAAACATGATATAGTAATATTGGATTGGAGAGGCGGATTTGGTGTGTGCTGTAGCAGGCACCCAAAAGTAATACATTAATCTCTAAAACTAA